CTGGAAGAGCACTCAGTGCTCTTAACCACTGTGTCATCTCTCCAGCCCCTTACAATATATCTTAATAATATTCTTTCCACTCCTAAATTCTGCACATCTCCATATCAACCCAATTTCATACCTTCCTTCCTTCTCCAAGGAAGAAAGAAAAAACTTGAGATTTCAGCTTAACTCAGTGAGAATGGCCAAGACAAAACAAATGACAGCAGATGCTGGTGAGGATGTAGGGGAAGGAAAACACTTATTAATTGCTGGTGGGCATACAAATTGCAATAGTCCCTCTAGAAATCACTATGGACATTTCTCCGAAACCTAAAAATAGACCTACCACACGGTCCAGCAAGACCATTTTGGCTTATACCCAAGGGACTCTATGTGTCACTACAAAGATACTTGTTCTTCCATGTTCATGGCTGATCTATTGATAACAGCCAGAAATTGGAAATATCCTAGATGGCCATCAACTGATGAATAGAGTTTCTTCCATTGAAAATTCTTTGTTAAGCTCTATACCCCATTTTTTAATAGGGTAATTTGGTTGTCTGGAGTCTACTTTCTTGAGTTCTTTGTATATATTGGATATTAGCCCTCTATCAGATGTAGGATTGGTAAAGATCTTTTCCCAATTTGTTGGTTGTCGTTTTGTCCTATTGACAGTGTTCTTTGCCTTACAGAAACTTTGCAATTTTGTGAAGTCCCATTTGTCAATTCTTGATCTTAGAGCATATGCCATTGGTGTTCTGTTCAGGAACTTTTCCCCTGTGCCCAAGTATTCGAGGGTCTTCCCCACCTTCTCTTCTATTAGTTTCAATGTATCTGGAATGGCCGAGAAGCACCTAAAGAAATGTTCAGTGTCCTTAGTCATCAGGGAAATGCAAATCAAAACAACTCTGAGATTCCATCTCACACCAGTCAGAATGGCTAAGATTAAGAACTCAGGTGATAGTAGATGCTGGCGAGGGTGTGGAGAAAGAGGAACACTCCTCCATTGTTGGTGGGACTGCAAGATGGTGCAACCACTTTGGAAATCAGTCTGGCGGTTCCTCAGAAAATTGGACATAGCATTACCTGAGGATCCAGCTATACCACTCCTAGGCATATACCCAGAAGATGCTCGAACATACAACAAGGACATATGCTCAACTACGTTCATAGCAGCCTTATTTATAATAGCCAGGAGCTGGAAAGAACACAGATGTCCTTCAACTGAGGAATGGATTCAAAAAATGTGGTATATTTACACAATGGAGTATTACTCAGCTATTAAAAACAATGAATTCGAGAGGTTCCTAGGTAAATGGATGGAACTAGAAATTATCATCCTGAGTGAAGTAAGCCAATCACAAAAGAACACACATGGTATTCACTCACTGATTATTGGCTATTAGCCCAGAACCTTGAAATGCCCAAGACGCAACTCACAGGCCACATGAAGCTCATAAAAAAGGAAGACCAAGTGGGGGTGATTCAGTTCTTCTTAGAAGGAGCAACAAAATACTCAAGGGAGCAAATATGGAGACAAAGTGAGGGACAGAAACTGAAGGAGGGGCCATTTGAAGACCTTTCCACCTGAGTATCCATCCCATGTGCAGTCACCAAAGGTAGATGCTGATGTGGAAGTCAGGAAGTGCATGCCGATAAGGGCCTGATATAGATGTCTCCTCAGAGGCCTTCAAGAGTCTGACATATTCAGAGGCAGATGCTCACAACTAGCCATTGAACTGATCATGAGGTTCTCAATGGAGGAGTTAGAGTGAGGACTGAAGGAGCTGAAAGGGTTTGTGGCACCATGAGGAGAGCAACAATACCAACCAACCACAGCTCCCAGGGTCCTAACCACCAGCCTGGGAGCACTTATGGAGGGATCCAGGGCTTCAGCTGAATATGTAAGAGTGGAGGGCCCTGCTGGGCACAGGTGGAAGAAGAGATCCTTGACCTCATGAAGGCTGGACGCCCCAGGGGGTGGGAATTTTGAGGGTGGGGAAGTGGGAGGGGGGGGTAGGTGGGGGTTACATCCACGGAGAAGAAGGAGGAGGGGTAAGGGGATGGGGGGTTCCCGGGTGGGTGGGGGATGGGGTAAGGGGATAACATATGAAATGTAAATAAAATATCCAATAAAAATAAATAAATTAAAAAAAAAACAAAAAAAAACAAAAAAAAAAACAAAAAAAACTGATGAATAGATAGTGAAAATATGGTACATTTATACAATTAAGTATTGTTGAGCTGTGGTTAAGAAAAATGAAATTTTCAGGTAAATGGATGAAGGTAGAAACCATTTTTCTGAGTGAGGTAACCCAGACTCAAAAAGATAAATATTGCATATTTTCTCTTGTATTGGGATGTTATATTTTAAGATAGATAGATAAATGATAGATAGATAGATGACAGATAGATAGATAGATAGATAGATAGATAGATAGATAGATAGATAGATGAGAGAGAAAGAGAAAATCAGGTGAAAGAGGGAGACTCTTCCAAGGAAGGCACAATAAAGTATAGTACTATAAAGAGATAGAGAGGAAACTAGAATGGTGTAGGGGATAAATGGAGATGATAGAAGGGCAGGATAAAGGCAAAAATATAGGGAGGGACAGCTAACACTAAAAGCCTTTTGGAAAACCATATGGAAACTCACTATTGTAGAAGCTTCTTAAATTATGTAAACACATGAAGGAATCATTATTATTATGACTATTATTATTATTTTACACTCTAGATTTTATTACCCCCCAACTACCCTCTGACTCTTCCACATCCCATACCTCCTCCCACCCTCCCATCTCCATGAAGATGTTGCCACAACCCACCACCCACCTAACCAGACCTCTAAACTCCCTGGGGTCTCCAGTCTCTTGAAGGTTAGGTGCATCTTCTCTGATTGAACCTAGACCTGGCAGTCCTCTGCTGTATACGTATTGGGGGCCTCATATCAGCTGGTGTATGCTGCCTGGTTGGTCGACCAGTGTTTGAGAGATCTCAGGGATCCAGGTTAATTGAGAAAGAATCTTAAATAGAGTTACCGTATAACTGGGGAAACAATGCCCCAATAGACAGCTTATGCTATCAAAGTTCAAGTAAAACCCAAAGTTCAAGGAATTGGCCACTCATGGAATGGCCAAAGGGGCTCTACAGACCCCTCTAAACTTCACAGCTTATTGCCTATGCTATTAATTGCTCTCCACAACCTGATGGCAAGTCCTGATTGCTTGACAATACCATAGAGCTGGTGCCGAACTGGAAGCTTCACCTCTACCCACTAGTATTCATGGTAATAGAAGGTAGTATGCATACAACTGGAAAAGGAAAATAATCATCAATTCCATCCAGACATGAAGCCTGTAACCCATGATAGTGATCTGCCTGCAAGATATACTAGTATAATCGTGGCATAAAAGTTATGGGAGTAACCAATAACTTCTTTCTCTTTTGATTTAAGGGCCACTTCCTGAGATGGAACTCAGACCTGACACTGGTAAAGTAGCCAATAACATGAAACTAGATAGGTTATGGGACCAAGGAGAAAGCATTCCACCATTATGCTGCTAAAGAAAAATAACAATAAAGTGACTCCTAACAACTTATTGCTAGACCCATAGAGCAGAGCATCGGTTAACCCTCCTCAGAGAAGCTTCCTCTTGCAGCAGAGTGCAGCTAACATAGACTCCATAACTGGACAGTGTACAGAGAATTAGAGACGTCGGAGCCCTCAGCCTAAATGGTGTGTCTTTATAAAACCCTCTCCTCAGGCCTCTGGAATCTATGTGAAAAGGGAGGTAGAAAGATTATAAGAGCCAGACGTGATTTGATAGCTCCAAACAACAGCATCCTCCAGACACAACAGGGCTGATGCACACATCTCTGTTTAATTTTAAAAGGTGAAAAGTAGCCCGGAGGAATTGAATTGCACAAAATGAAAAGAAATTTTCTCTTTCTAAACTAAAATATACCTATCAAGTTAAAAGAGCATGTATTGATAATAAAAAAAGAATAAATTTGTTTTCACCAGATAGTGGTGGCGCACGCCTTTAATCCCAGCACTTGGGAGGCAGAGTCAGGTGGATTTCTGAGTTCGAGGCCAGCCTGATCTACAGAGTGAGTTCCAGGACAGCCAGGGCTACACAGAGAAACCCTGTCTCGAAAACCCAAAAAACAAAACAAAAAAAAGAATAAATTTTTTTCAAAAGAGAATAATTAAGAATTGGGAAGTGGGAAGTAGGAGCTGAGAGACGATTCAACAGTTAAGAGTACTTGCTGCTCAAGCATGAGACTGAAGTTCAGATCCCAGCACCCATCTGAAAGCCAGAGATGGTCGTATACACACTTATCACCCCAGCACTGACAGGAAAAAATATAGTGAGTACCCCGGGCAGTGCTGACCGACAGCATGAGAAACCGCATCTCCAAGAGAACAAGGCTAAGAACGAGAAAGAAGGATGCTTAATGACTTCTTCTGGCCTATGTGAATACACGCACACGCACACTGGAGAGCAGGCACACACACATGCACGCACACACATATGCATGCACAAACACACAGTGGGGAGAGGAATTGGAGAAGGAAAAAGAAGGGGGAGAGAGAGAGGATGATAAAAAGCTCTTAAAATTAAAAGAATTAAAACAGAACAAAACAAGGGCTGGAGAGATGGCTCAGTAGTTAAGATCACTGGCTGCTCTCCCAAAAGACCCGGGTTCAGTTCCCAGCACCTATATGGCAGCTCACAACCAGCTGTAACCCCAGTCCTAGGAAATCCAACTCCCTCATCTTGCCTCCAAAGGCACCAAGCACATACAAGGTACACAAACAGACCTACCTATAAAACACCTATAAAACACAAAATTAAATAAAATTTTAAATTTAAAAAATAGAATTAAAAATTTTTCCAGAAAATAAAGCAAAGGGACAAAGAAATGGGGTAGGGGAAAAGATATGAAACTAGTAAACAAAAATCAGAAGTGTGAATGAGTTTCAAAAAAAGAGAAAAAGAAAAGAAAAACTTGCTGCCCCTAGAGGCATTGCAGGTGTGACTGCTGTGTCACATGTGCATCCATCCATAGGTGGCAGAGAGGAGAGAGGCTGTGTCTGTGCTCAATGATCTGACCTGTGACCATCTGAATGATTAGTACCCTAACATTCCCTGGAAAAACAAGGCTGAGACGACCTCAGAGCTACACAAGCCCAGATGGGCTCCCAGGGCACAGACCAATGTGAAGCCTAGAAGACCCCACCTGTGACTACAGGCCAAGGGTGGGAGTGAGCCGAGACAGAGGACCCTGGCATAGAGCCACTCAGGTGGGCACAGGCAAGGAGCAAGCCCAAGAAGACCACCAGACCAACACCATGGGGCCTGGACAGGAAGCTAGCATAAGATGACTACCAGTCCTGTGCTGTGCAGGCCTGGTTGGGGCGGGGCATGAGGATCATGCCCTATATAACCCCTGCCAGGTGCCATGGTGTGAGAGCAAGACATAGCACTCCTTAGGCCACTCAGGAGATGATCCTAGACATTCAGAGACCCCACCCCCACCCCACCCCGGTGCCTCTAAGTAGGTAAGTGGTGAAGAAATGGAAGAGAAAGAGAAACAGAAGGATGTGGGTACAATGATGAGAGGTGGAACTGGAAAGCTGAGGATAGTGAGGGACAGTCTGAAGTGAGTAGCCAGTGATGGAGTCCATCTGGGGCCATGGTGGAGTCCTGGCAGCCTCCTTTGCTGCCTCTGGGGGCCATGTCTAACTCTGTGTCACTACAACAGCAGGAGTCTTTTACCACCAAAGGCCAATCAGAAGTCCCTGGTCTGAGCTATAGCCAGAAGGACATGTTGATATCTGTGGGCTGAACAGAACTGGCTCCACCCCTCACCTGGGCATCATGGGAGACCTGGCCCATGAGAGCAGAAGAGTGGACCCCATCCTTAACCATCTGCAGTACTAGGAGAATGGCCCAGCACGTTGCAGGAGTTGCAGGTGAGCCAGCTGAAAAATATGAGCCATGAGTGTGGGAGAGTTGGCCCTACCACTGGTCTCTTCCCTCCTCACCCTTCTCCACCTATTCCAGGTGGGAGACCTGACTCTGAGGTCATGAGAGCAGAAGAGATAGCCCTGTCCCTCACTTCCTGCTGCACTCAGGAGAGTGAGCCCTTGCTGGTTTGTAATGTGCGTGGGTCCGTTGTTGGGTTGAGTTGTGGGTGCTGCATCTGTGCCACCACTCCCACACACACACACACCCACCACCAAGGGGCTTGGGCCGCTGCTCAGAGGGACAGAGGCGTGGGAATTTGACCATGTTCACTCCACACTGGTGCCAAATGGACACTGGGCTAGGAGAAGCCATGGGACTCTGTTCAGGGTGGGGGAACACAGTCTGAGGTCCCATGGGGAGGGGTAGAAGCTCTGGCTGTGTCCCACGGGGATGAGAGTTCTGGTCGCAGCGACTCACTTGGCTTGGTCATAGTTGGCTCGGCTTGCTTAGGTTGCTGGGTCTCCATGTCTGAGAACATAGATCATCTTCGAGAGATTAGATGGCAGCTTGGTAGTTAATAACCTTCTCCACGGTTCACCACAGCAAGGACCCAAAGAAGAGAAGTAAGCTATGGTCTTAAGATATTTATTGTCATGGTGGAAAATGGATGAAACTATACCCCGGTATTTTCAGGGCAGGCCTGAGGTTAAATACCTTTTGCAAGGAAGATTGTCTGGGAAGGAATGCTTAATTGGCTACATCCTCTGGCCTTTAGGTATCACATGAATATGGAGGTCTGTCTTGAGGCTCCACTGCCTGTAGTCACGCCCTCTACCTGTGGAGGGGCTGATGGATGTTGTACTACATGACTGGAGGACCCCACTCTATGGAGGTCTTCGGCCTTTCGTCAGAAGCCTGGAGTCAGGGAGCATAGCGAAATGTATGCTGTCCTTGCAGAGAAACCTGTGGGGTCTCCAACCTGTTTGGTTCCTGGTGATTTTCAGGCAGAAATCATGCTGTCCTTTCACTGTCCTTCAGGTCCTGCACCTCACCTGGGCAAAATAGAGCAGAGTAGAGCTGCTTTGGATGTGGGGATTGCGGGTGAGCTGTCCTTGGGAGCGTGAGCATGGGAGAGCTGGACCTACCTCTTGTCTGTTGTGCAGTGGCTGGGATGAGGGAGAGACCTATGGCAGGTGGGAAAGCTGGACCCAGGATCATAAGACTTGGAGAACTGTCCATGTCTCTCACCAGCTGCAATACTCAGGAGACCAGGCTCTGTACCTCACCTGGACAGTAAGGTAGAGCTGGTCCTGGTTGCAGGAATTTCAGGTGAATGGGCCCTGAGGGCATGAGAGAGAAAGAGCTAGAGTGCTGACCATCTTCAGATACCTCTTAGATCCATATCCAAGGCTTTGAATTGTCTCATCCGACATCTACCCCATCACTGAACTGCTGGAGAGCATAAAGGGGCTGGTCCTACAGACTCAAAACTACAGGATCCCCATGACACAGGGCAACAACAGGATATCAGAAAGTAGTCCAAGTAAGGTTCCAGTATCAATCGAGTAGCAGAAGCCAGAGGCTTCATATCAGACCAATGAGTCATTGCAATGAACACTTACAAGCAGAGAAGTGTGGATAAAGGGTCTACTGTGGGACACACTATGACACACTGTGGCTTCCACAAGGAGAATTTCTTTTACTGCGTTGAGATGTGGAGATTGAAGGGGTGGAGGGTTGGTATAAGGAGAAGGGGAAATGAGTGGGATTGGGGTACATTAAAGACCAAAAAAATGAAATGGTAATTTTAAAAGGTTCTCAGGGGCTGGAGAGATGGCTCAGTGGTTAAGAGCACTGACTACACTTCCAGAGGTCCTGAGTTCAATTCCCATCAACCACATGGTGCCTCACAACCATCTGTAATGGGATCTGGTGCCCTCTTCTGGTGTGTCTGAAGACAGCTACAGTGTATTCACATGCATAAAATAAATAAATAAATTTTAAAAAATAGATAAAAGATTCTCAGTGAGAAATATGTCATACTCATAGGAACGTGGATCACAATGGTATCCGATCTAGCCTCAGATATCAGAAAATAATAACAGTGATATTGTTTACATTTACAAGAAAAAGTACTTTATAGATTTGGAAGATGTACACCCAGAAAAACTACCTGTGAGACTAAAAGAAAGACATTTGGGGAGAGGTAAGGTCTTAAAAATTGTCTTCCTATAATGCCCAGCCTTAAGAAACAACTGAAAAGTGTTTTACACAGAAGAGGGAATCTCTAGAGTAAAGCACACAGAACTTAGAAAATGTGGGAATTCAACAGGAAAGCCCCACACTCAGTTTTCCAGATAATGTTAAAGGGCCTCCTTTGCGACAGCTGGAAAAGAAGGCAAAGAATCCAGAACCTATGGTTCTCAGGAGGATCTCCAGGAAGAAAACGAACAGATGACAAAGTCTGAAGGAAACCATGAGAGGACAAAACAAGAGAAGCTTGGGCTGAATATACACTGATATAAATTAGAACAAAGCAGGTGAGTGGCTTTAAGTAAATAGTTCTGAAATGTGCAGAAATAAGCATTAGACAGGGTGGGGATATCTGTGCACCATGTGTGTACGTGCATCTGCACACACATGTGTAGCAGCCTGTGAGCATAAAGGGCGGGGGTAGATCTGTCTGTGCACCATGTGTGCATGGGCGCACACACTCACACGTGTCCCAGCAAGAGAGGAGAGGGAAGGAAGAATTCCACGGAACCTGTTGATAGATTCACACAGTTTTCTGGAAACTCAGCTAATCACAGAGTCTGGTTGTTCTTGTTTGTCTGTCCTTACCCTGGATAGTTAGAAGGTGAGAAATCTCTGCAAACTCTGCCAGACAGCCTGGTGTGCTGTATCTTCCAGTGAACCACATTTCCCAGTTGCAGTCAACCATGAGGCTTTGAGTGGAGGCTTGCTGAGTCTGATGCTCTTGCACAGTCCATCTCCTGAGGTCTAGCCTGCGGAAGTCTGTTGTAACACCCCAGAGCTGCCCTGTGTAAAGTAGGCTGAGTAGAATCTGTCTCACACACTACATTTGCCTATCTCTGTATAGCGTTTCCATGCACTGTGACAGGATTCACTGTGACAACAGGCTTCCTGCAGACCTCAGCAAGGCGGTGTCTTGGTGAAAGCCAGGATGAAGTGCAGTTCCCTTTCCCCTTTCACTTACTCTTCCCTGTTACTACTGCCAATAGTTATTATTTGTTACAGGGATATGAGACACAGAACAAAGTCTTCAAAATATTCTTCCTTTTACACAGCTCAGGAACAGGAGATAACAGCAGGACAGCCAGGGAACTGCAGCCTAGCCAGATTGAACAACTGAGGTGCTGACGGCCTCAGGCTGGGGATGGCACCAAGTCACTGAAGGATATGCCAGCTGGAGCCTGGTCTACAAGATCTGGGTTCAGGTCCTGGATGGGAAGAGAGGGAAATAAATAATTTGACAAGTTGGCATTGGGGTTGTTTAGAAAATATCAAATGTGAAAGACTGTAAATGTAAGAAATCATCAAAATATAATTTATTACAATTCATATCATGCAACACATTGTGTCACATAAATATAATACAAATATATTATCTATAAGAGATAATTATTGTGATATATTATTTTTAAGATATGTAAAATTGCTTCATTTTTAGACTTGTTTGCTCCTCGTATATAGACGATACTTGTTATTATTGTTATTGATAGTTGTTATTGATACATAACTAGAATCACTAAGGTAACATCACTTTTAAAAAATACTTATTTTCTTATTATTTTCATATGGATGAGTGTTTGCCTATATATTTGCATGTGAAACACATATATGGAGGTGAGAAGATGCTAAATTCCCCGAAACTGGGTCTCCAGACAGTTGTGAGCTGTCATGTGAGTGCTAGGAACCAAACCCAGGTCCTCTGCAAGAGCAGCCAGTGCTCTTATCTGCTGAGCCATCTTTCCACCTCAAAGGAGAGTACATTTGATACAAAGACCACAAATGGCAAATTCCTTCAGCGTTGTTAGAATCCAGGGCCAGTGCACACCTTGCTCTGCACCCTTGTCAACTCTCATGGATCGCTGACCCCATAAGTATGTCACATGAATAGCAAAGAGGTAGAGAAGATGATCACTGGGGTTCTCTATCTATCCAAAAATTCTGTTTCCCTTGCAAAGAGTTTGGGTTCAGCATCCAAGTACAGAGTGGCCATGTGAAGTATCTGCTTATGCATGCCAAATGACCTAACACCTAACAGCTTAACCAGTAATACTGTCTCATTGTTTCTGGGTCTGAAACCCAGGTTCTGCCAAGCTGGCAGCCTCTAACTTGGGGACTCTTTCAGGGACACATCGAGTTCTGAGCTGAAGCCATAGTCATCACAGGGTGAGTGAGGACAGGACCTTCTAAGCTCACTCTGGTCTGTTGGCAAAACAACTTCCTCCAGGATTGGTGGAATGAGTGTTAGTATTCTGTCTAAACTCCACCTCCACAGTTACCTGGC